GAAATAATAAATCCATAGAAGTTGCTGGAAGATACAGAAGTGGGTATGTGAGAAAGAGGATTTTCTTCTCATTTTCTTCACACACTAAGTTTACCCAGCATGAGAACAGGAATGGCAAAAGCATAATGCTGCATGTCCAGATGAATATTCAGAAAGATGTCCTGTTCTGTGCAAGTGTGCAGCACTGAAGACAAGCTGCAACCAGCAGTTCGGAAAAAGAGTAGTCAAGCAACTGCTTGTAGTTCAAGATGATTTTTCTCTTCCTTCGCACCAGAGACCAGTGAGAACATTGCTTACAATGTTGGCCGTTAACATTGTCCCAGAGTATATCTCTTTCTACCTCTAAAAACTTAGGCAATCTTTGAATTCGTCACCAGTTCTACATCTTCAAAAAAAAAAAAAAAACAACCCAAAACAAACAACTTACAAATATGAAATGCAACCCTGGTCTGATGATACACCCATGCTTCAGTACCCATTTTCCTTCCCAGCCAGGTTTCCTTGGCAGGGAAGTGAAGAAATTCCTAGTCTGCAAAACTGTTTCTTAATGTTGTGTATTCTTAAACCAAGTTTCCTATAAAACATAATATGAGACATATCTGATCTAACACGCAAAGGGTCTGAAAAGTTCCGTTTGACTGCTCTTCTACAGATAATTTCGGTCTTCACATAACAGCAAATCTCTCACAATTGCTCAATTGAGTGACTGTCAGAAGTGAGGAAGTGAAGCAATATGCTTTTTATGTCTATTTATGTGGCATATGTTGCAATTATTTCAGTAATTAAATACTTTTTTTTTAAATTAACTCTTTTGGCAACTAAAATATTTGTTGTATTATGATGTACGATATGTAATGTAATTTATTAGTAAAATATCAAAACTGGAGACTGTAATTTGTACAACTGTAGAATTAGCTCCTTTGCTTTGCTCTTGAGACTTGAGATGTTTCATGTGATTATTTTAGGGCTATAAAACATACATTTTCTGTAAAGATTCTGGGAGTGACTTAGAATTTGAAATAGTTTAATGGAAATACAGAAAAAAAGCTTAGAGAAAGTTGAAGTACTGGAGTAGGTGTTGAAAGGAGACACCAAGTTATTTGAAGGCTTGAAAAATGTCTTGCAGTGAAAAACTTAAAATAGAATTGGCTAGAAATGCTTTGATGGAATGTTTTTCAGCTGATAGTATCTATTCATCAAGTTGAAACTCCGCTGGAAAGGCTCAATTTTCATATTTCTGATTTTGAAATGTTTCCAGCAATTTCAAAGTTGTTAAAACATCCTGTTTCGACATTTTCTAAAAGAAAAAAAATACAATTTTCAGTTCTAAAAGCCTTCCTCTCAAAATGTAAACTAATTACGGGAGCCATCTCTAGACTGAGCTGGAAATATTGCAAATGGCCCAATTGGTTTTTGTCTTCTTTTTTTTTATTTCTGATAGATCATAATTTCTAAGAGTTCTACTTTTTGTCAGGCTTTGAGAATGGAAAAATAGTTTATCTAGCTTGATTGAAAATTCAGCTGATTCAATTTATAAAAAATGTTCCTTCAGTGGGTCATGCCTCTGTATAATATGTTAAATTCACTTATGACCATATATTGGGTTTGCATGGCAAGGTTTTGGTAGCCAGGGGCTACAAGTGTTGCTTCTGTGAGAAGGTGCTAGAAGCTTCCCCTGTGTCAGACAGAGGCAATGCCAGCTGGCTCCAAGATGGACCCACTGCTGGCCAAGGCTGAGCCTGTCGGTAATGGTGATAGTGCCTCTGGGATAATGTACTTAAGGGGAGAAAAACTGTGCAGCAGCAGCAGCTGGAGAGAGGAGTGAGAATATGTGAGATGCAGCTCTGCGGGCACCAGGGTCAGTGAAGGAGGGGAGGAGGTGCTCCATGTGTCAGAACAGAGATTCACTTGCAGCCCATGGTGCAGACCACAGTGAAGCAGGCAGGCTGTTCCCCTGCAGCCCATGGAGGTCCGTGGTGGAGCAGATGCCCACCTGTAGCCTATGGAGAACCCGATGCTTGAGCAGATGGATGCCTAAAGATGACTGTGATCGTGCTGGAAGTCCACACTGAAATAGGCTCCTGGCAGGACCTGTGGTGCTGTGGAGAGAGGAGCCCATGCTGGAGCAGGTTTGCTGCAGGACTGGTGACCTCACAGGGGACCCATGAAGGACTGCACACTGTGGAAAGGACCCACACTGGAGCAGGTCTTGAACAACTGCAGCCTTTGGAAATGACTCAGGTTGGAGAAGTTTGTGGAGAACTGTCTCCCGTAGGAGGAACCCCATGTTAGAGCAAGGGCAGAGTGTGAGGAGTGTTCTCCTAAGGAGGAAGGAGTGGCTGAAACAACATGTTATAAACTGACTGCAACCCCCATTCCCCAACCCCTGCACTGCTGCAAGGAATGGAAATGGGGAGAGTAGAGAAACTGGGAATGAAATTGAGCCCAGGGAGAAGGGAGGGGTGGAGGGAAGGTGTTTTTAAGATTTGGTTTTGTTTCTCATTATCCAACTTGGATTGACTGGTAATTTTTTCCCAAGTCAGGTCTGTTTTCCCCATGACAGTAATTAGTGAATGATCTCCCTCTGTCCTTATCTCAACGCATGTCTTTTGTTATGTTTTCTTTCCCCTGTCCAGCTGAGGAGGGAGGGTGATAGAGCAGCTTTAAGGGGCATCTGGGTCAACCAGGGTGAACCCACCACAGGCCATTCTGTGCCACTGAGGACAACTCACATTAAGAACCTCTCTCTATACTTTTAAAGTCTGTCATCTCATGCAACAGAAGGGCCACATCCAAACCACCTCTTAAGAATGGTCACTGGCCTACTCTTATTCTTGATCCATGCCCAGGAATTGGCTGGGACTGTATACACTGGCCCATTTTAAAACTCTTTCAGGGTTTAAAACTCTTCAGGTAATTGAATTTCAAGTCCTGGGTTTTTTCCTGCACAGTTTATTTTATTTGTGCTTTGTATAGGCATGTTTTATGAAGCATATTGTATCTTAATTTCTTAAAGACACAAAAGAAGCAAAGACTGTAAATTAGAACTACAAAAATACAAATCAGAAATACAAATTTGCAACAAAGTGATTAACCATTGAAATAAGCTGTAAAGTCAGCATCTCTTCGTGCTTTGTTGTCAAGATAGGACAGTCTGCTGCAAGCCAAGTAGAAATTACAGGGCTCAGGAAGAATATGAGGGTAAACAGTAGATTAAACCAAATAGCCTAATAATCTCTACTGGGGATAAATTATCTAGAAAAATCATATGCAAAAGTATCATTTGCTTCCTGTGTTTCATCATTATGAGGTATAATTATGCATCCATTCATTTTATGGAAGCATCTTAAATCAGAATTTGCCATATGAATTTCTCATTAAGCTGACGTGCATATTCCAAAGGCTACATTTTGACATTTAACTACAGACAGATGGCGGACACCTTCCTCAGAACAGGCAGGAAACAGTCAAGGAGGCAGACTCCTGCTCAGGGAAGGGCAGCAGCTTGCACCACTCTAAATCAAGCAGCACATCCTCTGCCATTTCTCCCATGACGCTGTCCAGGACATATATGAAGTAAGGTTGAGCAGAACAGTATCTTGCAAGTCACCAGACTACAAATATTTTCTGTTTGCTTTTGGTATTCTCATGCATTTTCATGTTGAATGGGCCTTAAGTTCAGTGTTGGTTACTGAGAGCTGTATCTGGATGTTATATATTAATACAGAAAATGTCCCCAAATTTTCTACTGGAATCTTTGTCTCTCAGAGGGACCTGTGAAGTACATGCTGCTCCATGGAGCTAATATGTACCTAGAGAACTATTTTTCTTCCTGTGATTCTCAACTACTCAATATGCTCAAACTCTTGTTGCACTTTTCCACTGGTTCAGTTTAGTGGCCTGGAGCTATAGATACAAAATATTAGCTGTTAAACTGTCAAAACTTGTAACAAGCAGTAGCCATTACTTGAGGGACTTTTAAGCAGGGTTTACTGAATACAGCATGTAAAAAGCTTCTTTCAAAACGAAAGGGATTATTTTTTAGTTATATTTTATAATGTTACATGATACTGGAAAAATCAAACTGAAACATGTCACATAGAATAAAACTCCTAATTAGGGCTGAACTGGCATTTCTGGTGATCCACCATCTCCTAAAAGACAAGTCTGTTCACAGAATTTCATTGGTATGAAAACTGTTCTATCTTTGACCATGCTATTGGATATGCTAACAAATTGTGGCAGAAAAAGTCAAATACAGGGCAGCAGGGGTAGCTAAGGATACAGTATGATCTCTGTATAACTCAGAGCATTGTATAGCATACACTAAAGCCAGCTGCATTTTCAGAGCAGAATTTTAGATACACATGTATATGTGCTGTCTTGGTCTAACACAGTCTTGGTCCAGAGCATTAGAATTAACCCTAGAAATTTCTTATTTATGACAGATGATATCCTGTCCCTATTTATGCCATCTAAACATTAGGTTTTAGCATGTTTCTGGAGCAGTTAGCACACAGAGTAAAATGTCTGGCAAGTCCTGAAGAAATTTGTGTATCAGCCTGGCAATTTAGAATTGTTTTTTTTTTTTTTTCAGGTACTCTCAGAGAAAATGTTGACTGTGGTTTTACTTTTTTCCACAAAATGTGTTCCTGAGCAGACACCCTTTGACAACAGTGCTTAGGAGTTGTTGAGAACATTTGGGTAGTCCCTTACTTCCTGAGAAGTCTGAGTGTGTGGCCAGTGGTACAGATACTGGCCCTTGGCCTGAACAAAAATTAGTGGAGTATTTGTGAAATAGATCTTAGAGAATGATGACATTTTAAAGATACAGGCTTAGATATCAAAAATTAAAAAAAAAAATTAAATGGGACATGAAAGCTGTATGCAAAATAATGATCAAAATACTTTTATCTCCTTACCTGTGTCAATTTTAATTATGTTTTTTTTTCTCTCCATGTTTGTCTGTCATGATGATCGTTGTTTCTGATTCCTTGCAGACATCTCAGTCAGTCTGTTAGCAGTAGTCGTCAGCTTCTGTGGGCTTGCCTTGCTGGTAGTCTCACTTTTTGTCTTTTGGAAGTTGTGTTGGCCCTGCTGGAGAAGCAAACCTCTGACTTCCAATGCCAGTAATGCCCCCCAGAGCAACTCTAGTGCTCCTACGGAGGTTTTTGAGACCACTGAGAAAAAGGAAGTTAAAGAAAATGAGAAACCTACAACAAAGGTACTTGAAGCTGCATTGAAAATTAGCCACACTTCTCCTGACATACCAGCAGAGGTCCAGAACGCACTGAAAGAGCATCTGATCAGACATGCACGCATGCAGAGGCAGATCACTGAGCCCACATCGTCATCAAGGTGAGTCAGGGGCAGTCGTGTTTGTAGCACGTTTCTGGGGAACAGGTAGAGCCAAAATGCTCTGCTGAAAACTTCCAGGATCCTGGATTATTCACTGACTTCTTAGCAGTGATGGGTGAAACAGCAGACACGTGAAGGCAAAGCCCCAGTGTCCTTTGAACAGAATATTGTGAAACATACAGTGTATCTTCAGTTGCATTATTATTTTAACATATGAAGATCAAATCTACATCTTCTACTACTTTGTAAATATATATGTTGCTGCTTTAAGCATTTCCATTTTAGGTTTTGTGTTTAGGAAAATCTATTTTGGTGTGATTTTTTAAAGTACTGCAAGTCTAGTTTTTTGGAGATATTTTTATAGATGCAGCAGTTGCTTTTGCAGATGAACGTTTCCCTCTCCACTAAATAAATGACAGAATTGTTGTTGATGACACATTTTTTTTAAGGCGTAGTTTGCCACTTATAATTAAAATCCCAGTCTAAGAATGTAGACTCTTACAGACTGATCTCAGAGCAGTACAGTTTCTATATAGCTATTTAAAGAAGTGACAAGAATGTAATATACTTGAAGTAATTTCTTTTGTATTGAAGTAGAGGACAGGAAGTTTTATTTTGTCTTAGGTACTGCTCTATACTGAAAAGCAGTGAAGACATGCAGTGACGTATAGTTTCAAATGGTGTTTTCTTCAAATACTATCAGCAAATTTAATGCATTCAAAACAAACAGTGAACTGTAAAGATCACTTTCTACATAAACAGAAAAGTGCAAGTGTTTTATAAATAAAGAAGGGGGAAATGAAGGCTAAAGGAGACCTGAAGTATTGCACAATGCCATGTTAGAATACAAACACCGTATAGGAAGCAGCTTTCCCTCAATAAACCGTTTGATAAACGAACATATGCTACCAAAGGAAAACGAACAGCAAAAGGCTCACATTCACAATAATTGTTGGAGGCACAAGACTGGAGAAGATGTGCTTTACATTTAGTGGGCACATACTTTGCTGGCCTTCTGCGAGTCCCTGAGACAACATTTTGCCAGCTCACTGTGCTCATTGTGGTGGTGAGTGCTGAAGTTCTTTTCCCAGCTATTCCAATAATGTGGAACAGCCAACAGGCAACCACATGAGGCTCCCAAAAACAAGAGCACTCCAGCCAGGGGAGGTCTAACTGACTTCCGCAGCTGAACCATCTCCTGAATTATGAGACTGTAGATCTGGCTTTAAGCCACATTGCCCCGGCTATGCCTGGCTCCAGCTACTGTATCCATGTGCTTAAAGGAGAGAACACAGTATCCAAGGCACTCTGAGGAACATCTCCAAAACACTGGGAGGACAACTTTGAAATTGTAACTGTTACACTAAACAAAGAGAGACCAAAACCTTGGCATGCCAAGGATATTACACAACTTGCCATTACCTGTTAGGATATTAATTGGAAGAGTCTTATCCATCGTGTACCAACAGGTAAATCTGCAGGTAATCAGACTGTCTGACTTTCTGAGCAGACAGAAGAAATAGCTGGCTGGCAAATGAACTTGAATAGTCCCTCTGGTACTATAGGGGGAGTAAGAAGTTCCAGGGACAAGATCCAGAACTACTTCATGCTATGAAAGTATTCCCAAGGACCTCTAGAGTGATTTGGACTGGAATCTAAATGCATATAAAATATCTGTGAAGCAAAGGATGGTTTTAAGAAATTATAACCTGCCATCAACCCTACTCTTTCTGCATGTGTTAGTAACTTTGTAAGGGAGCTTTCTTTTTCATCCTCTCCAGATTAGCAGGGTTAAATATCTCCTGTGAGGGATAGTTCCTTTGCTTTGAGTAACCCTTCTTGTCCCACCTTAGCCAAGTAATAGCAAGGTAGTTGGACACATTACCTTCTTTTACAGTTTGCTGAAAAACTCTACACCCTTGCTCCAAAACATATTTAGAATGTGTCTTTAAAATTACCCAGATATGGTCCTTTCTGTATTTGTAAATGTATTTTTTCTATACCTCTGCCTGCCTTAAGGGAGTCTTAACCTTCTGACAGCCCATATTAATTATTGCTGCCAAGAACATAATGTGTGAGATGAAGGCTGGTCATTTAGGCCAGTTTTTTTGATTACTCCTGCATAACATTGCAGAGTGTTGGACCACAGACCTTCTAAAACCTGACTCTAGTGCCCTTCATTGAGGACTTCCAAAAATGGGGATCCAGTAGCAGACACAGACGTAGCATAACTTTCTCTTGCATCATCTTCAGCACAGCACTGCTTTTTTATGCTCAGGAGTCCTGTGTGATCATTTTCACCAGCTTCTAAATGTATTGCATTGACAAAGAATCTAAGAGAAATATTTGCTGTGTGGATTGTCTCCTCTATGCTGATCTCACCTGAGCTGGGGAAAAAAAAAAGGATTATGGCCAGTTCTGTGAGGTTCATGCAGCCATCACATTTTAGTAAAAGAAATGGAATCATATTAAGTCATTGTTATTGAAGCAGAACGATTTTAAGAAGCCATTCAGAGCAATAATAAAATGTGCCTCTTGATTTTTTATAGACTTCATATTTAACATGGAGACATGTTAGTGTAGGGACATGATGTATTTCTGATTAGTAATAGCTATGTCATTTATAGTTCCTGATAATATGAAAAGACTTGCTTGTTAAAAAAACCAACAAACTCTTTAGTCTTTGATACCAAGAAACCAGTAAACTACAATATCAGAAGTCCTACCCCAGTAATGTTCATTTACAAACATTTATGCTCCGTGTTACTGAGAACCACTCTTCCCAGTACTTTGTGAAAGTATTCTCTAGTATAGATTATTACTTCTATGATGTTCCTTTCTTAAGATTCTCACCTCTATTTTCAAAGGACATGCTTATTGCTCTTTAGCATTAGTGGGGAGAGGAACTTGTCAAGTCAGTCAGCTCCCAAGAGGCACAAAAGCAAAAACGAAGTTCTTGGGAATGCTAAGGTTCAAGAAAAACAAGCAGGCCTGTTAACTTTAGTGATTGCAAGGAGGAGACAGCAGCCTCTGTTCTGTTTAAATACCACAAGTGCTGTTGTCCATTCATGAATTTGCTCAAAAAAGTTGGTCTACTGTCATCTAGAAAAGCTAGACTAAAGCCACGCCTCATAAAACTCAAGTCATAAACTGGCATCCTACCCTTCCCTTTTGTCACACATATGGTAGTCTTACTGAATTAGAAATCAGCTTCATAGTAGCACTAATCCACAATATTATTTTAGAGATATAAATACAGATTTACTGTCACGCAAAATGTATTTGTTCTAAGTAATGAGAGGCATGTCTGTAACAGGATTGCTATGTGTAAGAACCAGTAGAGCAGTACTGGCTTTGCACGCATTAGTAGCTTTGCAGCATTTTCACAACCTGGTTGCCTGACATCCTTGTACTTCATTATCAGAGTCATTAATTCCTTTGTTATTGCAGAACAAAGGAAGATAAATATGTTGCTATGACAACAATGAAACATCTTAATAATTAAGAGACCAATTAGCTATCTTGGTGAAATGCTGTGACTCAGAACGGATACAAGGCACTATGTAATTGGGACTTTGGCTTGCTAGAGCAAAAGCACTGCTGGTTCCCATAGGGAACAGTCATATAGTTGCACTGTTCTCTTAGTGACATCTTGCAACAATGACTGCATTCACTGGAGGAACTTACGTGCATAAAATTTGACAATTTGAAAGAAGAGTGGTACCTTACAAGTCATAAATTTGGGGGTTTATATGTTGGTTTTACAAGCATTAACCCAAATCTTTATAAATTCAAGAGACATTGAGGAAAAGAGATGTTGTCAATTATCTGTTTTCACTCAAACTGGAAATGCCATACAGTCAGCTTCACTGTTTCCCCTGCATAAGCAGTTTTCTCCACTGCTTGTCTATGGCAGGGTTTGAATATGATTATCTGGTCATCTCAGTACTAAAGCTGCAGGTGTGAGGAGCACTCAGGAAGGCCTGTCTGCACAGGTTTCATTAGCACAGATAGAGGTAGAAATAACACAGGTCTCCCTGAAATTCATTATGAGTCAAAGATACTAGAGAGCTAGTGCCTAAGTTGCTGTGTGCCATTGCTACTACATTATGGGTGGAGTTCAGTTCCTTCCTTCCTTCACACACCTGGACTTTTTAGACAATAAACGCACAAGGACAGCCCTGTAAGTACCTGAGGACAATATTTGTACTTTTCTGACTACTTAGGAATTTTCCACTCCTCGGTCCATTCCATCGTATGCTATGAATTCAGGGAGTTTTAACATTTGAAAATCATTCAACTTGCCTGTCTGTAAAAAAAAAAAAAAAAAAAAAAAAGAAAGGTAGAATGTTAGGTGTTACAAGATTACAAGAGGGGTGTTTGAGATCAGAACAGCTGGATTTTTGGATCTACTTCAAATCTATACTATGATATTCTCCCTCTCCTATTCTTGTGTTATGCTAGGACTGCTCCCTGCACCTAGCAGTACTTTAACAGCCAAAAGGGGAAATATTCTTGTCTATTATTTAATGGCTGCAGATTACCCTCTTGTATCTCTGCTTAGCTGAACTGTGGTAGTTTTGTGCTTCACGCCTTCTGCAACCACTTCGCTTACAGCAAAAATACAAATAATATCTATGAAATCAGTCCTGGTTGCTTTCAAATGGACAATTTGCATTTCTGATTTAAAGAAAGAAACACACAGCTGTGACACCTCTTGTTTTCAGAACACAGCACCACAGGGAAACCAAGCAATAAGGCAAGGCTGCATTTGGCATTAATAAGCAATTGATTTCAGAAAGCAGAGAAAAGTCTGACAATTAAATTGTTTTTAATGGCAACTAAGCATGCTCACTGGAGAAGGTAGTGAGCTTTTTCAGTACAGATTGTTGGGGTAGTGAAGTACCAAGGAAGTGTGAAAATGTCTAAAAAATAAACTGGGCAGTGTGGTCATAGTCCATCTGCTGGTGATTAATTCTACAAAGCTTTTTGACCAGTGTTGTCATACTACTGTAAGGCTGTATGGCATGTCAGGGATTTGATTTCACTCACAGTAGGAAAGGCACACATTTTCACTGAGGTTCATGAGTCAAGATAAATACATATGCTTATGCAACACTGAATTTAGAATTACAAGTGTTTAAACATATTTTTTCTTGCTGGGAGTATAGGAATCAGCTTTCTAATACACCACACAGCAGAGTGTGAGAACAGATGGAAAAAACCTATCACAGAAAAATGTTGATGAGAACTTTGAAATGTATTGCAGCTGGAACAAAATATTCCAAGTAGGATTGGAGAATGCATTCTGTACTTCAGTGTAGCAAATACCAAGCCGGTGTATATATAACGTTGTAGGATGAACTGTACTGAAACACCCCAGAAGTAGTTCTGAATGGCCTTTTCAGGTGCCTTTCACAGTGATCAGTGTGAAGCTTGGTAAATATTTAATTAGAAAACCACCACGGAATGCCTCCAAGAACCAGGAAGTACTGATGTCAGCTCTGAAAGTCATTTTTTTTCTTCCTCACTGTGCTTTACTCGGGCCCTAGCACAGTGGGATCAAGCAATGTTGGAACTGCCAACTTGTTCTATGAAAGAACCTGAATTAAGTTTCAGCTGCATAGCCTGAAAATAAGGTTATAAATATATGTATTGGGAGGACACTGGGTGTCTCTCAGACCAAGAGGTTAAGAAGTTCATTCTGAATGATCATTTCTTCTCAAGGATGTTTTAACACTAGAAATATTTGGGGGAAATGGGGGAGAAGGGGAGGTATTTTAAAATTATTCTAAAGAGAGGAACATTAATGAATTTGTTCTTCTTGTGTTTTCTACTTAGTAATAGCCAAGTCTTTTCCCAGAGATAACCATGGCCCATTTTGTGTGTGTGTGTATGCGTGCAGGCACAATTCTTTCAGGAGGCACTTGCCAAGGCAGATGCAAGTGTCCAGTGTTGATTTTAACATGGGGACAGACCCAATTTTGCAAAGGAGAGAGACGACAACCAGCATTGGGAGAATAAAACCGGAACTCTACAAACAGAAGTCTGTGGATTCTGATGGGCAACAAGAAGATGTGAAAACATGTGGAAAGCTTAACTTCACTCTCCGGTATGATTATGAGAATGAACTTCTGGCTGTCACAATTGTCAAAGCCTTAGATCTGCCTGCTAAAGACTTCACAGGAACATCCGACCCCTACGTTAAGATTTATCTGCTCCCAGACAGGAAAAAGAAGTTTCAGACACGAGTTCACAGAAAGACATTAAATCCTGTCTTTGATGAAACCTTTCAGTTTCCTGTAGCCTATGATCAGCTCAGCAACAGGAAATTGCATTTCAGTGTTTATGATTTTGACAGATTTTCTAGACATGACATGATTGGGGAAGTTATTCTTGATAACCTTTTTGAAGTCTCAGATCTCTCCAGGGAAGCCAATGTATGGAAAGACATCCACTGTGCCACCACCGTAAGTAATGTGTTCCAAAAGCATTAATGTAGTATTTTCATGTCTTTTTTGTAGTTTGTGCCAGAGCATCCTGTTTATCAACAGAGTCTGGAAGAAAAAAAAAGAAAAAATTTGTCAGTATTTTCCTGTGAGCATAGAGAAAAAGATGCTTAGGAAGCTATAAAATTTAATTACTAAAAAAATCTTCTGGGAACATACCATCACCCTTATGGTTCACTGTGCATATATAAATTAGCTTTATTAATTAAATAGTGCATCATGAAAGTCACTACTTAACAAGAACAATTAACATTTTCTTGTTAGCAAAATACCCTGTCCTTTAAAATGACCACATACTTAGGGACAGGGCCTATTCTGCTCTTGTTAGCAAAGTTTCATAGGTTGGGAATCTTGTGAAGTAAGCAAGAGAGTCTAAAAATGCTTGAAGTCTATTCTTTGCCAACTACCCTGTGCTTAGAGTCCCCAGTAAATGTATCTGCATTGCTGCTGGTTACTAGCAAACACAAGTAAATACAGTTAGGAAATAGAAATCATTTATTTATTGTTGCAAGCAAGAAAAGGAGGCCAGTGCATGGATGACAGCATGGATGACAAGCTACCAGCAGGAAAACCTCCAGTCTCCAAACGTTATATTTATTATAAACATCGAAATCCAAACACATCTCTGGCTGCAATTGGTGGGGGAGAAAGGTAGGGTATGGGGTAGGTTTGGGGTTTTTGGTTTTTGGTTTTTTAGGTTTTTTTGTTTGTTTGGTGTGGGGTTTTTTTTTAACTACTATGCGATTTATATAAAAGTTTTCCCATCCCGTGTTCTGTGGAGGTATCCAAAACAGTCTGAGTCATCTCTGGGCTTGAGCATGGGCTGGACTTTCACAGAGGACAGAGCAGTAGTAGACACTGCTTAAGTCACAGAAGGTTCATACCACCCCTTTAACAGAGCTGGAGACTTCCCATGCCCTTTTCCCCATAAGTTGTCATGCTTTAAAAAAAAGGGAAGTTTAGGTCTGCATGACTAGAAGGACACAGAAGAATGGTATTTCCCAACTAGTTTGAGCATGAGAAAGAAGAAAGGAGATATATTAGGGAGTGTAGCATAGCAGACACAGTTTTTGAATGTGAATTTTTAAAAATGGCTATTTATTTTACCTGCTGAGTTTACCAAAATGGTATGAACAGCCTTTGGCACACCTCCAGAAATTTGTATCTGTATATGCTTAGTTTGATTGAGCTCTGATTTTGGGTAAATTTAAGAACTGTGTTCTCAAGCTGCAAATTGAATCTGTGTTTAAGGTCTTGGAATAATAGCCCAGTAACTTTTTTTTTAATTTCTTCTAGATTTGATATTATATTTAACACTTTAATAATGACTTAAATGCTCACTCGTCCTTTGCAACAGGTGTACGTATGAGATTTTTCACTGATAACTAGAATGGTTTCAGCAAATTAGAATCCTTGGACTGTTCATCACCAATTTTGAGCAGATTGAAATGCCATACCAAATTATGCAGTCTGGAGAGCTACTAATATACATCTGGATGAAAATGATTGCTAATCTTGGTGCTGAATTCTAATTCAAGTTTCTTCCTCACTAAGGAAGAATATAGTAGGTTGGGAATCTTGTGAAGGAAGACTCTAAAAATGCTTAACTACTTTAATTACTACATGCAGTTATAGTGCTTAACTCACTCTGCTGGTGTTGAAATTTAAGAGAAAGCATGAAGGTTTTGGATTTCAGCCTTTCTCACAGTAGAGTTTACAGTATTTAGTGTGTATGAGTAAGTTGTCTTCACTTAAGCTATTAACAATAAACACATAACATTGAGGTATCTTCTAGTAAGTATCAGGTAACCACGTTAGCTTTCCCAAGCCTTACCCTATTCCCAGAAAATTGTCTAAGAAACTGATTGAATTGATTTTTTCTTGACAAAATGAAACCCTCCTATAGTATATCCTTTTACGATGTATGCAGTGTGCTGCTTTGTGTTGTACTTCAGCTGTTTCATGTAGACTAAAATGGGTTAGTAATAAAAGTTTCTAGTTCTGCCATTTCAGAGGTTGTAAGATGAGGGAGCCAGTCCTGCACAGGAATAAACAGTACATAAGATGTTAATCAACAGGGAATTATAGTCTTAAACACCAAATCTAAAGTTTGCCAAAGTCGCTAACTAGCAATTAAATAACTAAGTAATGTTTAGCAGATTCAGCTGGACTTGGATTAAACCTGGAAAAGATCCAGCTGGTTGTACAGCTAGTGAAAAGTAATTGTACTCCAGGCGTGCATACTTTGGTTTTCATAAAGAATCTTTAAAAGCCAAACTGGCTGTCTCAGTGGGAAGGTCCATACTCGCGCTGTAGAGCACAGGAACCAAGATTCCATTCTGCAAATTTATTTCTCTCATGCTTTTTCACTCTTCACTTCTGCTCTGTTTTGTTGTTTGTTCTCTGAAGCTTTTCAGCCTTTTGTTCAGATGTGCTTTCTACACCTCCTCGTGCTGTTGCTAAATGTTAGATGCTAGTGATAGATCAAAGGTTTAGTCCAAAACTTAAAGAACAGCAGAAGTAGCCTCTCCTCAGCTTTGAGTCTTTTACATATCTTCCATAGTCAATAATCTTCTATTCAGAAGGTAGAGTGAGGATAAAAATCATTCCTTTTACCTGCTTAGAGAGAACCCATTTTTATGATACGATGTTCTGCACTCTTGGACTTGAACACCTACTAGACAGATTTACCAAGGAAAGGAATTACAACATTTTACTAGTGAAGGCAGTTACCACAGGAGACCAGGAGATTCTCTGCTATGCAAAGATTCTCTGTCAGTAGCTAACATAATTTAAAAAGATTTGCTTGTACATCCATAAGGAGTTTTTATTTGTTACAGGAAATACATGGTCTGGGGAAAAATCAGACTGGGTGATTGCACTGAGTCCTGTTGGCCATAAAATCAATGACTCTGTTGAAATCTGCAGTTTGAATACTTACTTTGTTTTTTCACATAATAGTAACTTGAAACTATTTTGTAGAAGTGCAGGATTGGCCCACACACCTCCTCATTTTTATCCTTATGGTTTTCAGTTGTTGATATTTATTCATCTTTTGTAGTTTGGGGTTTTGTTTTCCTTTTAATTTTTCATTCATGTCATCATTTCTCTGGTACATGACATGCTGAAAACTTACAGCTATTGTATACCATATAGCATGTGTCTGTCGTAAGTGCTAAAGGATCTTAATTTCTTAATGTAAAATTATAAAGCTAAATTTGGTGTAAAAGCAGTTGTGGAAAAGAAGTATCCTATATATCTGATTATATTAATATCCCCAAATTTTGCTTATATATGGGTGATTGATTTTTCAATAAATAATCCATCATTTATTTCTGTTTGGTTGATTAATAAAAAAAAAATAACAAAACCCAACCCTCAGGACTCAGCTTCGCACCACCTGTGAAGGTTGTTCAGTACATTGGAATACTGTAAGTCTTAATACACTTAATAATTAATTCATAACATCAGAGGCAAACACATAATATTAGATGAATTGTTTAGTCAACATACCTAACTTCTGGTTTTGTAAAGTGCTTGTGAGTTTTGCATACATTGCTGATGTTTTGCTGCTGTCAAAATATGCCACATACTTAAAAAATAAAAAAAACAACTCATGTATTGGAATTGTTAACAAGCACTAGTGTAAATATTCAGTGTTGTAAAAATGTTTAGGCAAAAAAAAACCCAACTCTAGTGATCTTAGCACTTTCTGGGTATAAAGGTTTATTAACTTCCTATTATACTTTTAAAAATTATTGATTGCTTTGAAAATCATTGCCTAAAAACCCTGTGAGCTCTGTTAGTAGAACCAGTTACAGGAAACTATACAACTGGGAAAAAAATAAATAGGGCTTAGAATTTAGATGAAAGCCATTTCCACCACATTAGTCGTTTGAGGATGTTAGTCATGAAGCTGTCATATATTTGTAGCCTCTTGAATTATCTCACGCAGACAGATGGAACTTGATTATTATTTAATTTTCTGACACCAGGCATTTCACCAATACAGCTTTCCCATTTGTGAAGTGAGATATAAAAGAAGGTTTTGTAAGGACACACACTTCATGTGATGCCCATGATGTGTGATTGCTGTTTCTAAAGCACTTGGCATATAAGTGAATAGCATTGCTGGAAAAGACAGAAGTGCTTAAATACCTCTTTTTAATGAGCGGGACAGTAACATTTGTCTCAGTTCATTTATCTCAAAACACTTGCCAGAGTAGAATGTCACACAGGTAATCCTGCCTGTTGTGGAAGGAGATTCTTCTGACTTCCTGATCAAACATGAATGAAGCCCACCTTTGCAGATCACCCCGAGCAATTATGAGCATTATCTTTGCTAGTTTTATCCATAGTTCACTATTTCATAAGTGGACAAAAAGTGGCTCACTAGACTGTACACTGAGTAAGGCAATAGGGGTATAGAGCTGAAAAAGATGTCTTATGGTAGTCAAATGCTGAGGCCGCATTGTAAGGATTGTCCTATTTCTAAGTGTTCAAAGAGTAACACTATCAGGAAGTGTTTTATCATCAGCAGTGTAGTAGACTGTGCCCTACAGTTAGCCATCCTAACTTATTAGCCTAGTCCATCAGAATGGATGTTTCTGGAAATGTACATAAAAGCTTTAACACGATGTTAAGCAGACGTGGAAGAGTGAAGACTTGTCAGTTTACAAACATTTACCATCTCTATAGTGGGAACAGCCTTTTTAAAGCCAAGAGTAGCTGGCGCTTGTCATTTCTACTTAAGGCCAGTGATATAAAGGTTTCATGTGATCACCTACTGCTGAGTAGATGAGTGAATACTCTGGGTCAGTCTTTCCAGAAATATGCTGAAAGACTGCTTTATGTCTGAGTGATAACTAGAAAAGGCAATAGAGAAGGAGCAGGTTTTTGTCCAGTTACTGAAAGCAGGAAAAGTTTCTATTATTATTGAACATTTCGTTTGAAAGGAAAAA